ATGTACATGTTCTTCAAGGCTGTCACCCAATTCGAGAGAATTTAGTTTGCTCTGCTATTTGACCTATCAGTAGGAAGAGATGTATTCATGTCTTTCCTGAATGCCTAAGTGTGAAAGTGAATGCAGCTGACTGGTTTGGAATTTGAATTCAAATTGCTGATTTCACTTTTCCTTCCAATAATCCTTTTGCTACCTGCATGTCTCTTATCTTTAATTCCCAACCAATTTTTACTATGCTATTATCAGTTTCATATCTCTTTGTTTCTCAATCATTTATGTTCCAGTCTTTCTGCTTTTTATTGCCAATGATTATGTTCTTTCCTTTATCTATAATCAATAGCTAATGATATATATATATATATATATATATATATATATATATATATATATATATATATATTAGCTTAAAAGCCACCCAGTAGGACTACATTTTAGTTAGCTCTTGCGGAGGGCTCTTGATTGTGACTTCAGCTTGTTCAGGAGTTTGAGAGTCGCTAAGTATTTGCATATTCTCAGCATTGGAAACTCTCCTGGCTGCCGTTTGATCTGGGTTTTCATTTGCATGGGACTTTCTTTTCCTTGCTGCAGCCTTGGCTCTTTTGATTGCAATCTGGTCTTCTGTTGGTGGAGATTTCTTTTTGCAAGGCATTCTGCTGCCATATGTGATTGCTGCATTTAAGTATTGTATTAATATTTAATCTTCCCTTTGAAAAGTTCAACAGTAATTCTTCTGCTGTCACTTAATTTAAAAACAATTAGATATGTGTAGGTCTTTACTTTCCGTACAAACAATTATTTTTATTTCCTGTGTGACTTTTGCTGGATTTCACAATTAATTTTGATTTTTTTCCCAAATTTATTTCTAAGTTATAAAAATTATTGTACAAAAAAATTCATTGTAAAAATTCACATAAAAATAATCGCTGAAAACAATCGCAGTAATGGAAACTTGGGAATCCAAAATTACTGTAACATGGGTTATTGAAAGATGTCTCATTAATTGAAAAAATTTGACATACTGACATTTGCATTTATATATATATATATATATATATATATATATATATATAATTTCCTTGGTTTAATGTAGATTGAATAAAATCTTGTTGGCATTAAATATCCCATTGAGGTTGATATGCTGTAAAACAAAACAATGATGGCAGCTGTTGCAAAACTAAAAACCATCTGGAAAGTCAAGAACATCTGCTTTAAATCAAAAGTCAGACTGTTGCATGTGTTGACCGTCTCAATCTTTTTGTATGCTTGTGAATCTTGGACATTAGCAGCAGAATTATGGTGATGAATCCAAGCACTAGAAAATAGATGCTAAAGAATGATCCCAAGTACCTCCTACATAGACTGCATCACAAACAATACCATCAAACAAGGAGCAGGTCCATTGGAAGACTTAATCACCATCAAGAAGAGAAAATTGAAATGGTATGGACATGTCATGAAGGCCAACAATCTTTCAATTGCCATCTGGCAAAAGAAGCAGATATAGAGAAAATGGATAGACAAAGTAACTTAGTAGATAGGAAGGTAATTAAAAGTGATTTAGATGTTGGAATACAGTTGGGATTTATGGAGGGAGTTGGTCCAGTGCTCAACTGTGCAGTGACCCTATAACCACATTCTGTCATGGGACTGACGTGTTTGCACCAATGATAGGGTTATCTGTGGTTTATTAACATTGAAGGATCTATGGGGCATATCGTGTTGTTAAATGGAAAGATTTCTGATAAAATCAGATGTATGATTAAAGAAATACTTTGAAAATTAACTACCAGACTGCATTAATGATGAGATTGATGCTAGCTTACATGCCAAAATAATGTAGAAATGTAAAAGCTTCTCAAAATGAATGGTTTCCAGCACTGAGTTAATAAACTCATTCTAATTTAGTCTATCTTTTATTGTTTTTACTTACAGGCTCTAATTTGGGACCGGAGAAAATATTTCTCTTATATCCGGGTTTCTCTTATATCCGGGTTTGGTCTATTTTATATACATTAACACAGGCTCTAATTTGGGACCGGAGAAAATCTCTCTTATATCCGGGTCTCTTATATCCGGGTCTCACTGTATTTATTCTTTTTTTTCATCTGTTCCATAATGATTGCTACATTTGCATATATGTTTCATACATTAAATGTAACAATTATTATGGGACAGAGGTTGTATTTTCTATTTTCTTTATTCAGTCATTTCCTTTAGTTTATAGTGACTACCTTTGTCCCATAATAGTTGTTACATCTCCATATACATTTCATGCAGTAAATGCAACAACTATTATCGGATAGAATTGATATTTTATATTATTTGATGTATTTGTCTTTTTCTGTGTATATAAACTTTCTATCTCTATCCCATAATCATTGTTACATCTGCATATATAGCTAGCACATTAAATGAAACAATTATTATGGGATAGACATAGTGTACAATTTAGAAATTGAATAATGTGTTATTGTTAGCAGTAGATTGTGTGTGCATTTGTTTGGAAGGTGGGAGTGTTAACAATCACAATGGACAAAAGGTGTCATGAGTTGGTCAAGAAACGATTAGATTTGTTCAATTGTAAACCTATTCCTGATTTTGCATTTTCTTGTGTGGCAGTAATGATGCTAAGGAAAATTGAATTTAAGGTTTTGAATTATCTGTCCTATTCTCTAAACATTTTCCAGATGGTTTATTGTTTTAAGTGTATCATTAACTAGATGAACAATAAGCATTTATCATGAGTGAGCAACATCACACAAAGCCTTTGAAGAGTTCATTAACTATTGATTTTTTTTTCTAACACTCTTGGGAAAGGCACAAATCGATTTCTTTTTTCCTTTCAGCTACAGTTTAAATAATAGGGTAGACTGGACTCTGTAGCCTTGGATGGCAGTTGAGGACTACACTGAATTCAGAATTGAAAAAAAAAGGCAATGGGGGAAAGCACTCTATCTTTCCTAAGAAGTCATTGCAATACACAGATAATAAAGAAAAGGAATCTGTGGAGAGCCATGATGTACTGAAGGTGCATAGCATTAAAATAATAAGATTGATTGATTGATTGATGGATTCATTTTTTACAGCTTATCAACCAATTGCAAGTTATTCAAAGCCAAGCAATATGTTTATATTGTAAGATTTATTTTATCATTTTTTATTTTTTCAGACAATGTTTTAGTAATAAAAATCTTACTAATTAACCCATAGCTGGGGGAGAAGAGGTAGCTTCATACCTTTGTCAAGGGTATTTGTGCATAAGTGAATATAACAAACTCTCTCCAATTAAGAATCCCAACCCATTATATATTACACCATCTGCACATCCAAGCTTACAGCACCTGGTATTCTCAAGCGGTCACCCATCTTGGTACTGACCAGACTGGAACCAGTGTTTTAACGTAATGTGGCCATAAACCTAAAATGATAAGTAAAATAAGTTTATATATATATATATATATATATGATTCATCTTTAAAGATGCTGGAAAAATGGTTGGTTCTTTTGTCCTGCTCCAGAAAGTACCTGACTCTACCTACTATGCCGTATCCTTACAATAGTCAGAGCAGTTAAAAAATGGAGCATTGCTAATTCTCACTTTCCAGCCATGATAGAATTCAAAAGCATTTATGTGGCCTTGTGGGTGATGAATTATTTTGCACCTTACAATCCCTTTCCCATCAGCAAAATGGATATATTTTTGAGTTTCACTAGTTCAGACTTGTACATCTAAAACCTGCCATGCCATATACATGGGTGAAACATCTTCATTTTTTTTTATTCCATTGGTAATGAAGTTCCATTTAGACAGCTTCTTCCTAAGAGCTGTTGCTTTCTGGGACAAGCTCCTGAGAGTATGCTTTCCTTACCAGTAACCTCTGCAAGTCTAGGGTCAACCATTATCTATCCTATATAAATCCTTATAATCTACATTTCTTATATCTATAAAACAACCATATTCCCAAACCCTCTACTTTGAGTGGCTCTTGTGCCTTGTATTAGGTGAACAATAAAGTAAAAAAGAAAACAGTTTAATTAATAACAATAAACTGCTTAACTCTGCTGAATTTTATTTAAAAAATAATTCCACCCAATTTTCTCACATGCACAGCAATAACCGACAGGTGTTGTCAAAGAATCTAAATTCTGAATGCTTGGTTTTCAGCAGAATAAATGTATTGAAATAAAGAAACAATGAGAATTGAAAATGTATGAATTGGGAAACAAAAGATCCACTTGCTTGAATGTAGCTCTTTTAGAAAAGAAATCTGCAACAAATTAACTCTGATGTCCAATACAAAGTGATGCCAAAAGTTCTCACAAAAGACAAAAACAGTTGAATACATTTTCAACATTCTGAAAAATTAATTTCTCATCACTTGTTGTTAGAAGGATTTGTACATGAGATGTAATCTTTGCTTCTTCCATCAAGCAATGATATGTGCAGATAGTTAACAAAGAAGAGTTCATAACTTTAAAATTAAGCAACATCAAGCCTGGTTAATACCTAGATGGGTGACCACTTGGGAATACCAGGTGCTTTAAGCTTGGATGTGTGGGTGAGGTAATGAATATGGGAGGGAGGAGTAGCATAATTGTTACCAGCATGGAAGGTGGAATCAGCAAGCAAGTTTCAAGCTCTATCTTAATCTGTTGTATTTATAACTTGGGAAAGGCATGAACCATCTCTTCCCTACCTATTGTTTATAGACTGAACTCTCTAGCCATAAATGAGAGCTGGTCTAAGAGGACAGACTCTGAAACTAAAACTACAGAAGGCTATGGGCAACCACTTCACTATTTTTACTTTAAGAAGTTCTAATAATTCAAAGATATTTATGAAAAAAGGAAGCTGTCAAGAGCCATAATCGTTATGATTATTATATAAGCATAATGCAAAGTTTCTAGACCTGGCTTTTTTTTTTTTTTTTAACTATATTTAAAAAATTGTAAGGGTTTTTTGAAGTCTACTCAGCTCTTGCAATCTTTCATTGAAGCTTATGGCCATGTTACTTTGAAACACGGATTCTTATATGATCATCAAAGTTAAGCAATGTAGAGGTTGATCAGTACCTAGATGAGTGACCGCTTGGGAATACTGGGTGCTGTAAGCTCGGATCTGTGGGTGGGGTAATAGATAATGGCTCAGAATTCTTAATTGAAGAGCTGAGTTCCAATTCCAGTCAGGTTTGTTATATTCACTTATGTGCAAATACCCTTGGTGAAAGGTATGAATCCATCTCTTCTTCCCTCAGTTATGGGTTAGTCAGTAAGACTTGTATCATTAAATGACTATTATCACCCAAAAAACTTATTATCTAAAAATATTTACTAGTTTTAGATAACCTGCAAAAGGTTAATGAGTATAAATCCCAGTTTTGTGTTTACAGTGATGCTTCCTTCAACAACTTCATTCATATATGATAAAAATATAATTTTAAGCTATGCTATATTTATAGGTAAAAGTGCTCAATATTGGGGATAAAGTTTATGTAAATATAAAAATGTTTGTAGGTTATGTTTATGCTCAAGCATGAAACAGACTGTCACTGCTCAGTATTGAATCCAATGTCTACTTTTATATTTACATATGCTCTATTGCTAATATTGAGTACTTTTACCCATAAATATAGCATAGCTTAAAATAATAGTTTTATCATATATATATATATATATATATATATATATATATATATATAAAAAAAAAAGCTCAAACACTAATATTCCATGGTTATAATTTATTACATTGGAATATGTAATCATCAGACCTACAAATTCAAAAAGAAATCGAAAAATATAAAGAAAAAAAAGCCACAAATGCATTATAAAAATGAAAAATCTTTTTTGAAGCTTTTATTTTACTTTTAATTGCAAGTAAATAGATTGAATTTAATATTTTCAATAAGCAAAATACTTTGCTGTATTTCAAAATGAATTTCAATTGATTGGAATGATTTTTTTTTTTTTTTTTTTTTTTTTTTTGAAATCACTAAAAATTGCTGATTTTAGTGCCATTTTTAGCCATCAGTTAGCACAACATATTTCTATTTATTAAAAAATAGAATATATTTTTCTGACACTTTATTAAAGGTTAACTGATTCAAAGTTTAATTAATCTGAATTAATATAAATATTACTTACTTTCAGTTTAAAATATTTCGGAGAAGTATTTTTTAACCTGGAAGTGCATGTTTTAATGAGGTGTTGGCACATTTATTGATAACCTGACGATTGTGAGATTTAGGTAAGAGCGAAATAGTAAAATTACATGGGGACTACAATGTGAATGCCTTTTTTAGATAATTATTTAATTACCCAGTAATATTAAAAATATTTTAAACATTTTAATATTTTATTAAGTTTTAGGTACTTTAGTCTTATGAAGATGCTTGTTGCAGAAATGTTAGAAAATTACCAATAAATTTTAAATTTACTCTAGTTACTGCTCTTGTTTTCTGGTAATGTGTATGGATGTCTGTATTTGCAAAAATAGGCACTTTTATAGACACTCTAAAAAAATAGGTACGTATAGACACTCTAAAAAATTTTAAATTCTTTTTAAAATACTGGGTGTCACTGAATTTTAATAAGCTTTTCTATTTATGATTAGTAACTATAATTTTTAATTAATAACAATATCACCTAACCTCTACAAATTAATACAAAATTTTAAGATTTAAAACTTTATAAATTATTATAATTAAAATTTACAAAAAATAAAAACAATTCTTGTAAAAATTCATTATTCATTGAAAAAAGTTTTCTTAAGAAAATAGTGTCCATAATACATCTTATTCATAAAAGCAATTAAAGGTTTTTCTAATTAAATAATGTCTTAGTTTTACTGTGTTTTTTATTTTATGATTCAGAATAGATTTTGTGTAATTGGGGGTTCTATTTGATCCAAACATTTTACAATTTAATTTCTTCAAGGACTTGTCCTTATAACTAATATAAACATTAAGTGCTACAGAAAGGAATTTCTCAAAATTTTAGAAAATTAAATAAGTGGTGAGTAACAAGTGTGTGTTTTTAAAAAAAAAAAAAAATTACAATCTGATTTTGGCAAGAATTTCCAAATCAATGTTTTTCATCACAAAAAGACACTTAAATTTTCCATTATAATTTATGGTTTTCCATTTGATGCTAGAAAAAGAAAATTTTTAAGATTCCAAATAGGATTAAAAAAAAATACAATTTAATAATGAAAAAATCCTTTGGCTTCTCCTCTTAATAATAATAAAAATTTCCAAATCAATATGTTTTTCATCACAAAAAGAAACACAAATTTATGGTCCCCATTTGATGCTAGAAAAACAAAATTTTTAATGTTCTAAATAGGATTAAAAAAAAATACAATTTGGCTTCTCTAAATAGTAACAAAGATTTTAATGATAAAACTTTGTTTTTATTAAGTTTGGGACATTTTTTCATAATTTTTTTTTTAGTGAATCTTTTGATGTATCTACATTTACCCATTATTCATTTTATCATAAAGTAAAATGTTTCAGGTTTTAGTTTGTTATATATATTGACAATATTTTATACATATTTACAATTCAAAATGCCACCCTTGCTTTCACTATAGCCCTTAATCTTTTCTCAAATGAAATGCATGACTTCTTCACCACCTTTTCACACAAATTGTACCACGTCAAAAGAGTTTCTTTCAGGTCTGACATATTTGATTATGAGATATGCGAGATATTGCTCGTCAATATGGACCATGTCACAAATTCCATTGGATTAATGTTGGGGTATGATGGAGGCTAAATTGATTTGTCAAAAAATCCATGGAAATGTCTCTTGCACCTGTTCTGCATCAAATTGGTCATGTGGAGAGGATCTTGAGTGAAGACATGGAAACATTTTAGATCTCATCAGGAGTATGACAAGGAGGAAATGATAGCCCCAGCCTATTTAATCTCTTCCTTGACTACGAGCACAGATGTGCTGAGATGGGCAATGAATACTTAAGCATTCTATACTGTATCCCAAACAAGTTTACCAACAGAATACTATGATCCTGTTTTCGATCCTGAGACCAATGTACTTATGATGGGTGGGGCGAGATGCTATGCTGATGACATAGGTATTTATAGTCGAGATAAAATGATCTTGAACACAGAACCAGCATTCTCTGTCAGGTGTTCAAAAAATAATAGTCATGGTAAACCGTTACAAAATGGAAGCTATGATCTGGAATTGGAATGAAACCAGTGATGGCCACAGCAATCAATCCATTATAAAAATTCAGGATGTGGAATAAGTAGATACTAAACACTTTAGATACCTTAATGTATGGATTAGTTATAACAAATTAAGTATAAGAGAAAAAAGGAGGCATGATGCAGTAATGGATAGTGGTTCAGATTAAGAAATCAGAGAGCCAAGTTTGAATTCCAGTCAGATCCATTACGTTCACTTATATGCTGATACCCCTGGGAAAGGTATGAATCCTCTTCTTCTCCCCCCAGCTATGGGTAAATAGCAGGACAACCCAGGTTCTATAGCATTGGATGGCAACTGGCCTACTGCAGAAAGAAATAGAAACCAACTGCAGGAAAAAAATCTGCCTTGTCAGTCATGTATTGAAAGATACATGATCACTTAAGCGTGTATCACATATGGCACATAACTGACTGATAGGAGAAAAAGAAATTGTACATAGAATAGGCTGTGCCAAAGGTAGTTTCACCCAATACCACAAATTGCTATGAAACTAAAACCTCAACCCCAAAACTCTAGTCATGTTCTTAAATAGCCTTGTTAGACCAAGACTTTCATATGGAAGTCATGCATGTCACTAAACCTGTTCAGAAATATCTAAACTGTCAGCTATATACAATCATTTTCTATGATCAGTAGTGAAAAAAGTCTTTGAGCCAGCAAAGTCTGAGTGTCTTGGCAAAGGATATCCTTTCTTGAACTTTGTGGACTGTTGCTAGCATCACAAACAAAATAATTATACCAAATAACAGAAACTATATCACTTGAGGTCTGCCAACAGCAGCAACAACTAAAATGAATTGCACATGTAACTTAGAGAAAACAATAACATAATTCAAGATGTTAACATTCTGTACCACTTCAAATAGAAGGTTATGAAGGAAGCCCCCATCAATACTGGAATTTATAAAATTTACATTTACCTAGCTGTTGACATATACGAGGTCTGTCTGAAAAGTAATGGGACTAAGTGTACTGTGTGAACTATGGCCAAAAGAGGAATAAGCGGATTGTGTTATCATCTAACATGATATCTTGGGAGTATATAACTGTAATCTTAGTTTTCTGCAGTCATTGCGTTTTATTTCACATGCTTTTGTGTCAGGACAAATTGCCTGCTCATAATGCCCTGAGCATACGCGAGTTCCTGGCTGAAAAGAACCTCACCATATTGGAACAACCTCCCTATTCACCTGATCTTGCTTCATGTAACTTTTTTCTTTTCTTCAAGCTCAAGTGGATCATTTAGTGGATTTCAAGGCATGGAGGGGCAGCAATGAGGGGCCTGAGGGTCATTAAAGAAGAATCCTCCCAGCAGTGCATAGAAGCATGACAAAACAGGATGGAAAAATTCATTAGATTTGCAAGGGATTGCTTTGAAGGGGAAACTATGTAGTTCGTTGTTTGGAATTTAAATAAATTGTTTGTGACACTAGTTCTGTTACTTTTCAGATAGACCTTGTATATACATTTTCAAGACACCATGAAATGTCAGTCATTAACATTTTATGTTCTAAAATAACTAGTGCTTAGTACTATTTTCAAACCTGCATAGCTATACAGCAGAATACAATACAACCTATTTTTGAACATATTTTTATTATATTGTGCGTTCAGGGTGTTATTTATTTTAGTTTATATTACTTTGTATCTGATGGAAATCAAAATGGTTGTACCCATGAGAAATTGCCATCAGTGTCTTTATAGTAATTTATTTCCAGTAAATGGCAATTTCTTATTTTCCCCAAAATGGGCCAGCACAGCTAGGCAACAATGTTTGAATTTTACTTTTTAATTAATCATGACTTGTACTTGACGGCAACTAATTTATCAGGTGACATTGTATAAAACCTAACATTCTTATCACTAAACTTCATCATTAGACAATGACTAAAGAATTTTATTATCAAAGCAATATCAATATTTGAAGTCTTCAGCAGATTTTATTAGGATATGCATCATCTGTGTGGACATGATATATATGAATTGGGATCAAATACAGATCAAAAATAGATCAGAAACCGACAGAATGATAGGATAAAGAACAAATAGGAAATATTTATAAATCTAACATATATTGCTTTTGTTAAAGCTTCATCAGAGAATAAGATATGGCAAAATAATATTCTTGTATTTTTATTTTTGTGTTTGATTTTCATTGGCAAAGCAGACTTCCCATGCATTTGACTTGTCAAGTAGTGTTTGTGTGCATAATTTATGTTTGTAAGTGTATCATAAATCTAATTTGTCTGTGGGGATTTGGTTGATAATGTATATATGTACTGTGTGTCTAGTAGGCATTATTTTTGTTTGGAGGTTGTCTGCATATTGATTTGGGGACATTTTTTTACATCAACACTGGTCATTAAGTATGTCAGATTCAATAAGAATGGATTTAATAAAGGTTGGTGATATAATATAGTGTTTTTGATAGTTGGTAAAATTTTTATCGGGATTCCCTCAATGTACTTTTGACAGAAAGAACTATGCTCTTTTTTTTTTTTTTTTTTTTAAATTTGGGTGACATTTGTAAACTCAAAGTTATCGACAGTCTTGTTCTTGTGCGTCACAAGCTTAAATGGCTGTCTCAACATAGGTCCCACTTGTGTTCACAAAAATAAAAATACCAGAAAATTTTTTCTCCATATCTCATTCTCTGAAGCTTTAATAAAATGAAACATGTTAGATTTATAAACGTTTCCTATTTTCTCTTTATCCTAACACACACACACACACACACACACATATATATATATTATTAATAAGCAGTATTAATAGTGGTTTAGTGGTCATATCATGTTGAAACACTGGTTACTGCACACTGAAGTTAAGCAATGTTGAGCCTGGTCTGTACCTAGATGGGGGACCACTTGAAAATACCAGGTGCTGTAAGTGTAGATATGCAGGTGGTGTAATGGATTATTACCAAGTTCCAATTAGAGATGGGTTGCATATATTTACTTACATGCAAATAGCTTTGGGAAAGGTATGAATCCACCTCTTTTCTCAGCTATGGGTTAATTAGTAAAGCTTGTATTGCTAAACCATTATTATCATGAAAAAAACATTGTATACAAAATTTTGGCATTAAATAACTCTGAGAAATGTTGATATACCACTAAACAAAAACAACCCACTAACCTATCAACCTAATGGTAGGATTGTTATGCTTGTTACAAATTGGCTACTTTAGTTTGGGGAGATGCTTACGCAAATATATCTTTGACATGTTAACGAAATAAATAACTGGAAAAAGGAAGAAAACTCTGGTATTTAACAAATAAATAAAAAGGAAAAGCAATTGTACTTGGTAAAGTGTATTTTTGCATGTATAGCAATGATTTATGACTACAGTATACTTATGTAATATAAATTTTATATAATTATCTCTGACACTAGGTTGTCAATTTTAATTATGAGATTGCAGTCTGTTTAACTGAAGACAATGCAATAAAATAATTTTCTAATTGAACTAATAATGCCTTTCTTGAACCCACATGACTGTGATTAAAGCTTTTTTTTATTATTCATTTCTTGTGTGATGTCTGTTTTTTTTTTTTTATTGTTTGAAAATTACAATAATTCTTTAGTGAAAAAATAAATTTGTTTAAATACAAATAAAACTGACATTAGTATTACCTACTGATGGAAAATTTTGTCTAGTCATATTTTGCTATTTGGGAATTTTAGGAATTCTTTGCACGTGATGATCATACGATGCAAGGTTTTGAATAAGAAATATAGTCATTTTTTAATTAAATAAATTAAGTGGTTGTGTGCATAGCATAGCAGTTATTTGTGTAGTCTCTGGGGTGCAGAGTTCAAATTCCAGATGAATTCATAGCATTTACTTTTGCACAAATACCTTTTGGGAAAGATGTGAATCTATCTCTTCTCCCCAAAATTATGGGTTAAATAGCAGGGTAGACTAGGCTCTCTAGCTTTGGTTGGCAACTAGTCTAGGAGAAGAACAACTCTGAATTCAAAACCTGTTAGGCATAGAGTTGGTAACTCCACCTTGTAAAAACCTACTTGATATGGAAACCACAGTAGTAGAACCAAGCATGGTGAAGATGTGGCTGAATTCTCCATAAGAGAATCTAGTGACACTAAGGAGGTGGGAGGGAAATTTATTTATTTTCTAAAGAAAAAAATTTTGGAAGAAAACCAAATAAATTTCATTGTTAAAGGATGGAAGATTTTTAATATTTTATGGTTCTTTTTTTTCATCTCTTAACTAATTAGACACTTGATTTTTTTACAATGATTTTCACTCTGTATAAGGCCCAAGAATGACTCAAGGTAGAGGGCTACAGAGTAAGAGGTACAGTTATGGGGATATGTGGGGAAGATAATGGTTAAACCTAAACTTGAAGAGGTTAAGATTGTAGTGATTGGGGAATTATCTTCTTGGGAATTAGTTCCACAAAGTAGTGGTCTGTGGGATGAAGCTGTAACATCTCACTAATAAAATATGAAGTGAATGAGTCGTTTGCTACAATGTACGTGGCATAGCTGGCCTTAGCCATGAAGATTATAACTGGTGGAACTGAGGAACGTAGTTCATCTGAACAGTTTTCATGAAAATAGCAAAAGAGCAGTGAGAGGTTTGCGATGTTTCATCTATGGGAAAGTGGTTGTAGGGTGGAAAATAATTTGTCACCCACAAGGATGCAGAAATGCTTTTGGACACAATTGAGATGGGAAAGTGAAAACTGAGTAGCTCTTGCCTGTATATGGCAGCAGTACTCCATTTTCATCCTGACCTGATACTTGCAAAGGTAGTGAATAGCAGGAGGAGTCAGGTACTTACTTGAGCAGTACAGGGAACTGACCATTTTTCCAGTATCTTAATGATGGATCATATGTATGAGTTATACTCAAAATCCACACTGAATTTAAGTCTCAATAGGTGCTCAAGGCATGGAGCAAAACACCCATTCATCACGATAGGTAAAAAATCAGGGTCTGCATGGGGATGATAGAACATCACTAGTTTGGCTTTCTTTCAGTTTACTCAAAAATATGTGGTTGACATAAAAGTTCTCAGCACATTTTGACAAAATCTCTTATATCAGGCATTGTTATTCAGTCAACAAATATTTCTTTGATTTACTACGAACTAAACTGTACATTCTATTATAATATTTTATGCAATTCACTCCATTTGATTCCAAAATATACTTGTCACTTGATGTCAAACCAGAGCATCAAAAGAGCAGAATTAACCTGATAGATGACTTCCTAGCTGAAGATGGGAATCTGCATTTCAGCCTATTTGAGTGTTTTCTCCAACCTATGAACATGTGATCTATCTAGCTGTGGGAACAGAACTGTATGATAGATATATAAACACCCACCTTAGAGGACATTCTCTTACATACACATGAGAATGTGGAGTCCATGCTTGGAGAGAGTCTCAAGATTATACACACTCACTGGTCAATAGTAAATGACAAAGTTTGGAGTTGAATAAAGTGATGTATGAGGAGATATTAAGTCTTTTTTTCTCATTTGTAATGTACATGATAATAGTAGAATAAAACTGGATCAACCTGATCTCTGAGAAGTGTAGATTTTTGGATTGTAATGGATTCTTTTTTGAATCCCACTAAATATAAAAGCTTTGTTCAGATGTTGAAGGCTGTCTTGGATTTAGTTGATTTTATTTTTGAGTCTTGTAATAAGTTTCATTAGAAACAAAGAAAAAAAATGCTGGATTGCTATGTGACATAGATCCTCTTATATGGCAATGAATGCTTGACAATCTCCCCACAGATGAGGAGAAAACTGGAGGCAGCAGAAATGTGGTTCTACAGAAGGTTACTGAAAATTCTATGAGCAGAATAAGCGAGCAATGAGGAGTCTTAAAGAAAATAACAACAGAGAGAACACATTCTCAGAATCAGGAAGAGGCTACTGAAATTACTTGGACACATAATGTTATGTAGGAATAAAGTGTTGCTGCCAATACTTGAGTTTGAACATAGATCACCAGTGAGCAAACACAGGTGATCCCATTATTGAATTAAGTAGACCATGTGACCATAGAGGAAATGCGTATATGGGAGGTAGTGTGTGTATAATTGATCACATTTCTAGTCTATCCTTTATACTATACAGATCACCATTTCTACTCTATCCTCTATTACTATACAGACTGCTATTCTCTACTCTATTCACTATACTATTTCTCTATTCAGATCACTATGACAGTGAGTATTATCGAGCAAGTGCTATTAGCATGTTATTCAAAGGTGTCTGACACCAGCATTGTTCAACAGTGTTACTATAGTTGTATCTGCAATTACAAAGTCTCTACTACAACAAGCATCTCAAGAGTGGCAAAAAGTGTTCATTGACATCACAAAACATAATGAGGATGGAGTGCATGAAAAACTTAACTCTCAAAGGACATATTGAGAGCAAGACAGACAGGGGAAGGCTACCCTATGAGCTTGTGTGAATAGATGGCAGAACCTTAGTAAAAGCTGAAAAACTGTTAATGGCTACAAGGGATAGGAAGTTTTGGAGAGCCATTACTGACCATGTCCTGAAGGGATGTGGCACATAGAAGTAGAATAAATATTAATATTCTCTTTTGAATCCTACTAAATACAAAGGTTTTGTTGGGATATTAAAAGCTGTCTTGGATTTAACATATTTTGTTTTTGATTCTTGTAATAAATGTTATTCATCATCAGTTACTATCTTATCTGAAAAATGGCATCTTTATATTTAAAAAAAAAAAGTTTACTTGTTTTGAGTCAGAAGAGTAAAACAAGTATTTAGATACTGACCAATGTTTGCAAAGGCAAGGTATGAAGACATCTCTCCCAGCTGTGGGTTAAACAGTAGGAATTGTATTTAAAAAAAAATGTGTGTAAATTCACCATTTTCTGAGAATATTTTGTAATGCTTGTAAACAATGAACTATATTGATTGATTTGTTCTTTTATGGTTTATCAACCTTTTGCAGGTTATTTAAAGTCAGAAAATATTTTAGATCATAAGAACATTTGAAGGTAATGATTTACTGATAGAAGTAATTAGCCCATACCTTGGGGGAGATGTGGTAGATTCATGCCTTTCTCAAGGGTATTTGCAGATAAGTGAACTCATCTGGAATTGGGACTAGGCTCTCCAATTTCCATTTCCAAACTGTTATCTATCGCACTACCTGCACATTCAAGTTTACAGCACCTGATATTTTCAAGCAGTCACCCATCTAGGTACTGACCAGGCTTGATGTTGTTTAACTTCAATGATTGTATGAGAATCTATGTTTCAAAGTGACATAGTTGTAAGCTACAATGAATGATTGCAGGAACTGAGTAGGCTTCAAAGATATTTTTACAATTTCTTTTTTTAAACATAGTGAATGCTGGACAACCTCCTCAAAGATGAAGAGACTTGAAGCAACAAAAATGGGATTCTACAGAAGGATGCCAGAGATGGAATATGTGAGCAATGAAAATGTTTTAGAGAAAATTGAAACACAAAGGAAACTTGTAGTTAATCTCAGGTAGAGATAGTTGAAATTTCTAGGGCACATAATGAGGAAAGAGGGCTTGGAAAATCTGATACTCACAGGACAGAGTGAAGTCAAGTGGAACAGAAGAAAACCATGCATAACATAGTGAGCTTGAGTAAATGTATGGTGGAACAAGGATTAGGAGAAATAACAGACAAAATTTACTAAATTACAAAGGACAGGAAATTGTGGAGAGACATGATCACCTATGTCCTGAGGGGACACAGCAGAAAAAAAGACAACATTAAATTAAACTTACTATGGTAACAGCTAGAGCAACTATTTTTAAAAAGGGGTGTAAGGGTTAATAATTTGTATCAATATCTCAGTTACATTCAAAGAGGTCAAGTCAGGGTAAGGTTGGGGTGTCTAAATATAAAGCAGAAGATGACATCATCTAGTCTGGTTAAGTGTTTATAGAGATTTTTTTTTTTTTTTTTATTTCATTTTCTTTCCTAAAAGGTAAAGATTATATATAGTGAATTTAGAAAACTAAATTTAAAAACAACAGTCTGTACAAAATTAAAAAGGGTAAACTTCCCTGACATAACTCTGGATTTAATAAACAACGCATACCTACCTTATAGAAAACCTAACACTAACTCCTTGTATGTACACCCTAAGTCAAACCACCCTCCATCCATAATTAAGCATATACCCTCATCAGTAGAGAAAAGAATCAGCATTAACTCCGCTAATAAAGAAATATTCCAACAACACAGTAATTTTTATAACGCAGCCCTAAAAAATAGCAGATACAAAAATGCTAACATCAATTATAGAAACAATTGTACTAACCAGAAGAAAAACAGGAAAAGAAAAATCATTTGGTATATCCCTCCGTTCAACCAAATGGTTAGTATTAAGCTAGGACATAAATTTCTAGCTTTAATTGAAAAGCACTTTCCTACAAATAGCAGACTGAGTAAAATCTTTAATAAAAACACTCTAAAATTAAGTTACAGTTGCACTGAAAATCTAGAAAGTATAATAAAAAAACACAATAATAAAATCCTGAATAAACCTCCATGCCAGAATAATATTAATAAAAACCCTAAACTTAAATTAGACAAAAATAGTGAAAAATTATGTGATTGTAGAAACTCAGAAGACTGCCCATTGGAAAATATATGCTACGTAAAATCTGTGGTATACCAATGTACTATCTCATCCATTGAGAGTCCTAATACTAATATGATATACACTGGGTCTACGAAGAATGAATTTAAGACCAGGTGGAGACATCATAAAAGCTCCTTCAACAATATTAATAAAAGACATCAGACATCTCTATCTAAATATTTTTGGCATTTGAAGGAAAATGAATAAAACACCAAAAGTAAAATGGAAAATTATAAACAAAACCA